GTCACTCATTTGTGTGGCTTCTTGGCTTCTGAACTCTGGTCCTCACAGTTACCTGATGGTAAGCCCTTGCCTTGGGCATTTTCTTTAAAGTCAGCCTCGTGTAGCCCTGGCTAGCCTGAGACTCTATAGTGAGCTGTTTTGGATTGAACGTCCCACAGTCACCTTCCGAGCTGAACTGTGGGTGTGCACCTCCATGTCTAGTTTGTCCAGTGCCAGGAGAGAAGACTGAGCGCTGGCTCTACTTGCCAGGCCTTGACATGCATCATTTCCGGGTGCTGGAAAGTGGTGATTGGGGAATGAATGTGGGTATCATTTCACAGGTGTAGACTCTCGCACTAGGACCTAGGGCTTGTTCATTAAACTAAACCGGCTGGAGAGCAAGCTCTGGGGATTCCTTCTTTCTCAGCACATGCTCCAACGCTTGGTGTTTTTACGTGGGTGAACAGCACGGAGCTTATCTCTTCAGCCTGTCACTATTTGCGGTTGGTTCTGTGTGCACCTGGGTACCATAGAGGTCAGAGGACAGTTGTATGTATGAGTCCTCTCCAACCACAGGGTTGGCAAAACACCTTTCCTCCAGATTTTCTGAAATCTTTTCTTCTGAAGCTTTCGGACATTCATTAAGAGCATTCCTCCTGTGACTACCTGCTGAGCCCCTTTGGGGTCTCACGATGCTGCCTCGGCTGGCCTGGAACTTGCTGTGTAGTCTAGGCTGGCCTGGAACTCAGCTCCTCCAGCCTCTATCTTCCTAACTGGAGGAACTAAAGGTATGTGCCACCATCCCTGGCTCACGCATTTTCTTCAGCAAAGTAATATGAAGGAAGGATAAATCCTTTATAAGAGGACTCAGTATTTCTCAAGGAAGTACCTGAATGTTCCGGAGAGTATTCTGAATCATGATGGAGACAGGAAGACAAGGCTGCAGTTTATGGATGTCAGGCTGCTCAGACTATGCGTGTTGGACCTGCCTCCAGTTTCTGCCATCGGTGTCTGTAGAAGGGATGATACTAAGGGGGTCCCAATTTCATCTCTTTCGTTCCGCGTCTGGTGCTTACAGGGTATGTAGCCTTGAAAGCGATTGGTTCCTTGTCAAGGACTTTCTTCAGAGACATTGAAGGTTTAGTGACAAAGCCAGACACAACATGAAAAGTTGCTGCATGGTGAACATTTGGCTAGCTTGTCTTCTGAATCCAGTTTGCCCTTGGTCAGAACAGACGGACAGACGGACACACACACACACACACACACACACACAGTTGTGTTTATTATCTAGCCCAAGAAATAGAACATTATGGGTATAAAATTGTACCCTTTAAGTGTCTCCTTTCCACCCCTGCTCCTGCCAGCCACTGCTCTGTGTCTCCTAATCTTACTTTCTCACATAGTTTTGTAATATGTAACACACTGTCAGAATATTTTGCCTGCTTTTAACTTTTGTATAACTGGTCAGATTCTTTCTGAAGGAAAATGCACACCTTCTTTGTATTTATTAGGATTTTTGCCAGTGAAAGTCAGGTGAGCATTGTAGTACTTTCCTGTTGTGACAAAACACCATAGCCAAGGCAGCTTATCAAAGGAAGAATTTATCTCACCTTATGGTTGCATTAAGAGTCTGTGGCAGGGAAGCATGGCCGTAAGCCATAGGCAGGATGGCAGGAGCGGGCAGCTGGGAACTCACGTCCTCAACCACAGGCACAAAGCAGAGAGCATAGAGGTAGGCAAGCCCAGTGACATCACTCCTCCAAAGCTGTATCACCTAAACCTTCCCAAACCACTCCACCACGTGTGTGGGGCGGCGGCAGTGCTGTGTGCCTGCGGCACATGGGAGATCAGAGGACAACTTGCACGAATCCGTTCTCTCCACTGTACAGGTCCTGGGCATCCAACAGGCTTGGTGCCAAGTGGTTTTACTGGTGGAGCCATCTTGCCAGTTGAGGGTAGCTTTCGGTGGCCTGGAACTCATCGTGTGTGGCGATCCCCCTGACATTGTCTCACCAGTATTAGGTTTATAGGTGTGTGCAACGGTATCTGGTATTTGTAATTGTTCTGTGTTTAATTTTTTTTTTTTTTTTTTGCCCAGTGACAGAAATTGCCATGATACATTGCTGTTGAAAGCTTTAAGCTTTGAGACAGGCCAAGTGGGATGCTGGTGCAGGGCCTGGCATCTACCCAACTCAATGAGTTCTTAGTGGGATAAAAGCCATAAGACCAGCAACCATGTCCCTGGCGGCGCTGGTTCCCTCTCTGACTTGCTGCAGCCTGTCAGGTTTTGCATCCTCCTGAAGTTGTTCCTCTTTGGAACTCATTCCTTCTCTTCAGGGTTTGAGGTGACTGCCCCCAATAGGAGTTCTAGGATGAGCTTCCTGAAGGTTGCCCCCCAGTGCACTGCCTTCCGGAGTTACAGAGAAAGAGGCCTTCCTTTTCTCTTCATTTTCGGTGTGCCCTTTACAGCTGGCTGTGGGATTCTTGACCACATACAGTCTACTTCCATGAATAGGTGACCGTACACCCCCCCCCCCCCAAATGTGAGCTAACAAAACCCAGAAGTGTGATGAGCCACTTGGCTAAAGCATTGTGAATTTTAAGTTTAAAATTTTTGCTGGGAAAGTGGCACAGACACATGCATGGGAGGTTGAAGCCCGTTGATTTAAACATAGAGGCCACTGTGTAACTAAGATGTACCCCATCTGGCGTCCCTGTCCCCTGCACGGGAGAGGGAGAAGGGGGGAGGGAGAGGAGGAGGATAAGAATGAATGAATGAATGAATGAATGAATGAATGAATGAATGAGCGAACGAACGAACAAATGAAAAGTAAGTAACAGTACTTGCATCCAATCATTGGCTTCCTTGGGAAGTTGGACCAGCTCTGTAATTCATCTAAACATGCTGGCATTAGCTTTTTAATGAGCGTTTTTCTTTCTCTTCTACGAAACCCAGCAAGGCCAGTTGCAGGGCCAGTTTTGGGGATGGCCTGTCTTGTGACAGGTCCTATCCTAGAGGGCTTTCTTCATGCACTAATTGTGACGGTTGGTCTTTGTGGCGGGAATCGGTTGAGGGGTATAGTGTGTTGTGTCAGGGCAGTGGACATGCTGGCTACCGTCCTTCAGAGGGAGGCCACAAGTGCCTGAAATCGTTGGGAAAGCATGCGGCACCTGGACCCCTTCTCTCAACTACACATTGGAGTGAGAATGCGGGCCATTTTCCCCACGCGGTTATTTTAAGCTTGGTTTGGATCAAGCCAAGGTACTCTCTCAAGGGACAGAGGAAGGGCCCCTTCCCTGGCTTCTGCTTCTTGTGTCGAGCTTTGTCTTCTGCTTGGGGCTCTCACAGCCTCCTTTGCATGCGCCGTGCCACCCCGCTCCTGTGTCACAGTGCCCTCTTCTGTGACCTACAACCCCTCGGTTCAGCCCTCCGCCATGCCATCGTGAAGTCCATTGTTTTCCGTAGAGGACCCTACTTAGACTTTTGAGTTTGCACCCCTCAATTGAAGTAGCTGGTCGTGGGGTTTGAGCGTGACCTTCCTAAAGCAGCTTTAAAAGCTACGCCTTTCAGAGTCACCACCAGATGCACCCCCGTGTCTTCCTGTGTGCTTTCCACCTGTGAGTGCCTGAGGTTGCTCCATATACGCTGAGTGTCCCGGTCTCCTGCGCTGTGCTGCCCAAGTGCCCTTGGAAAAGGCTCAGCGATGGTGCACGTGCCTGGATGTGAGGCTCTGGGTTCATCCCCAGCACTGGGTTCATCAACACACCTGCCGGCCGTATAGCCAGCAGCTTGTTCTAGTCCTCAGTGTTGTATGGCATAAAGTGGAAATTTTTATGGCCTGTGAATTAGGTCAAGCTGTCAAATCTCTCTCTGGAGGTGAGGGCCTTCATGAGGATTTTAGGCCATCACCGGCAGTCTGTGTGCTTCAGCACAGTACTGTGATGTGTTACTTACTCAGCCACGGATGCCATTCTTCTTAGGAGCATAAGGTTCCACGTTGCTCTCGGCGAGCTCAAGCTTTTCTTCATGGCTGGAACCCACCACATAGTTTGCAGTTAGTAACACTTGTTGGATAAATGCGATTCCTTCTAAATTTGTGTGTCTGTACACACGCGCGCATCCACGTGCACACAGCACAGTTGTGGCTGCTGAAGACAACCTGTGGGGATCAGTTCTCTCCTCCCGCCATATTGGTCCTGGGATCCTCCAGTCATCTGCTGGTCCAGCCTGGCAGCAAATAACTCTGTACGGAGTCATCTTGGGTTTCCATAGCTACAGATCTTGGAAAGTACACACTCGCACAGTTTGGGTTCGGCTTCTGGTGGCATGTTAACAGATGTTCAGGCTTGGGATGCCGTGGCTGTGTTGCCATTGATTTTCTTTGAGATCAGAGTCTCTACCTGGTTAGTCCCCTCCATTTTGTGCTCTTCTTCTTGCCTTAGCCTCCCAACAGCTGTGATTACAGTCATAATACATAGCTGGCTGGGGCCTGCACATCTATCTATCTATCTATCTATCTATCTATCTGTCTGTCTGTCTGTCTGTCTGTCTGTCTAGTAGGCTGGGCTGGCCTTACAGAGATATATGCCTGCCTCGTCCTCTCCGAGTGCTAGGATTACAGGCATGTGCAGCAGTGCCTGACCGTTGCTCCTTTCTAAGCCTCCCTCCTTATTTTAATCTTGGCTATTCCTTTTCTTGTATTTTTGCCTGTGATATTGCAAAGAGTTGCTTTTTATAATCTAGTAGGCATTTATAAAAAGCAACAGGTGCCTTATTGAAAAAAAACAATGCTAAAACTGTATAGTTACCTCCACTCAACTTTGCTGCCGTGTAACGGGCGATGAAATGGAAAGCTCAGCGGCCAAGAGCGTATTAACTTCTCTTCCTCCCGTACAGCCCAGTTTGCCCTAGAACCTGCTAGTAGGATGATGCTGAACTTCTGATTGCTGGAACTACAGACTTGTGCTGACACATTCTTGGAAGCCTTCTTGAGTATTTGTTTTTATCTCTTTAACAGAAGTTGGGCACGAAGCAAAGCAGTACCTAGAAAAAGGTCTTCTGGTTCCAGATCATGTGATCACACGTCTGATGATGTCAGAACTGGAGACCCGGAGTGCCCAGCACTGGCTGTTAGATGGTGAGTGGCTGATGGGCGGGCTGGACCTTTGACACCTTGATTGCTCTCATCATTTTTATTAGCTGCTTCTTTCCCCAAGTCTGTCATTGATTGAAGATTTTACTTTGGCAACGTGGAATCCCAGTGTGGCAAAGCCTCTTCATTTTCTGTCTGCCTTCCATTACCGCGAAGGCTTTTATTCACTTCTGCTGCTGTTGCCTCAGTTCCATGGTTTCTTTGAACTCACACTGACTGTACCATCTTAAATTAAGAGGCTTTTTCATTCACTGGGGTTATAAAATTCCAACTGCAAGTTTCTTGTTTTTCACTCAAATTTAGCAGAGCTAGCGTGTCTAAAAATCCTATATTGACTACATAGGAAATAATTATAAAAATTGTAGCGTTAGCTCAATGTGAGGGCAGGTCTCTTATCTCTGCAATTTGTAAGCCAGCCTGGGCTATAACAGTGAGTTCTAGGGCACTGGAATACAGAGTGGGGCCTTAGTAGGACAGGGCATATTTATGATCCAGCCATTCCGTTCTGAATTTCTGCCCAGGGATGTGTCTTTTTTATGTATACAGTGTTCTGTCTGCACATCAGAAGAGGGCACCAGATCTCATAGATGGTTGTGATCAACCATGTGGTTTCTGGGAACTGAACTCAGGACCTCTGGAAGAGCAGCCAGTGTTCCAAACCTGAGTCATCTCTCCAGCCCCAGGGATGTGTCTTAAAGGATGTTCACTTGACCCTTTTTTTTGGCAAAGAGTTTTAAACCTTGTTTATTAAGGTGCTAATACCCATCTTTGGAAACCTATATAAAGAAATGGGAAAAAATGGCTATAAATACTGTAAGAGAAAAACCATTTTATGGTTCACCAAGGACAGAAGGGAGGAAATTGTTTTACTGAGGAAAGAAAGGGTTGGGTTAATGTTTTGGAAAAGGTGAGGTGGAATCTGGAGGATGGCTCAGTGGTTAGGGGCATTCGCTGCTCTTGTGGAGGACCAGGATTTGAGCCTGCAACTTCAATTCTAGGGGATCCAGCACTTTTCCGCCTTACTGGCACTAGGCCTGTACATGGTATGCATGCGAACCTGCAGGCACACATTCACACACACACAAAATATAAGTGAGAAGATGGATGTCCCCTGGGTGGAAACCATGGGTTAGAAAATAGGGATGTGCCAGGCCCATTTTTGTGTGCTTGCAGCCAGCTGTGATGAGCCCATGCCTGTCAAGCTGGTGGAGACTCTCTGTGCTGAGCACCAGATCAACCTGGTTAAGATTGACAAGAAACTAGGGGAAGGGTAGACCTCTGTGAAATCGATGGAGAAGGGAAGCCACGGAAAGTGGTTGGCTGCAGAGCCACCATTCAGTAAGGACATTTGCTCAACCATGTTCATAGCAGCTCTATTCATAATAGCCAGAACCTGGAAACAATGTAGATGTCCCTCAACAGAAGAGTGGATACAGAAGTTGTGGTACATTTACACAATGGAATACTACTCAGCAATTGAAAACAAGGCATTCGTGAAATTTGCAGGCAAATGGTGGGAACTGGAAAAGATCATCCTGAGTGAGGTATCCCAGAAGCAGAAAGACACAAATGATATATACTCACTTATAAGTGGATATTAGACATATAATATAGGACAAACATACTAAAGTCTGTACACCTAAAGAAGCTAAGCAAGAAGGAGGACCATAGGGAAGATGGCTTAATCCTCATTCAGAAGGTCAAACAGGATAGACCTCAGAAGTAGGAGAAGACAAGGAACAGGACAGGAGCCTTCCACAGAGACCTCTGAAAGACTCTACCCAGCAGCAGGGTATTGAAGGAGATACTGAGACTCACAGCTAAACTTTGGGCAGAGTGCAGCGAATTTTATGTAAGATGGGGAGATAGAAAGATAGAGAGGACAGGAGCTCCACAAGGAGAGCAACAGAACCAAAAAAAAATCTATGAATAGGGGTCTTTTGTGAGAGTTAGAATCCAAACAAGGACCATGCATGGAGAGGACCTAGACCCCCTGTTCAAAGGAAGTCCATTTGCTGCTCAGTTTCTAAGTGGGTTCCCTAGTAAGGGGTACAGGGGCTGTCTCTGACATGAACTCAGTGGCAGGCTCTCTGATCACCTCCCCCTGGGGGTTGCAGCCTTGCCAGACCACAGAGGAAAATAATGCAGCCAGCCTTGATGAGACTTGATAAGCTAGGGTCAGATGGAAGAGGAGGAGGACCTCTGCTATCAGGGGACTAGGGAAAGGACATAGAGGGAGAAGAGGGAGGATGGGTGGGATGGGGAGGAGACAAGGGAGGGGGCTGCAATGGGGATACAGAGTGAATAAATTGTAATAAATAAATATATAAATAAAGAAAAAAAAAAGAAGATAGGGATTTGAGTTGGGCATGGTGCTACACGTCTTTAATTCCAGCGGGGGCAGGTGTGTGTTTGAGGCCAGCCTCGTCTACAGAAGAGTTCAGGACAGCCAGGGCAAAAAAAGGGGGGGGATTTGAAGGGGAGGGTAGACACAGACTAAGTAGGCCGTCACTCGACGTAGAGTGAGCTTGCAAAAAAAGGGCAAAGATCGTGTGTGTGTCACTCAAGCTTTGTCACTGGTCAAGCAACCACGAAAAGCGTTTTGATGGAGAGAGACTTAAAATATGCTTATTAGCTTATATGTGTTTCGTTACGAAATGCTGTACGTAAGTGTTTTGACCATATTTGCTCTTCCATCTGTTGTTGATCCTCCCCTTCCCCAACTAGACCCTTTTCCTGTTTTCCTCTGTCATTTTGGTTTGTGTGTGCCCCAGTGAGCTTAACTAAGGAGCGTGGGCGAGGGCTTCTTTGTAGGAGAATGGGCAGCCAGCCGGCAGATACACAGCTGAAGAAACTGGAGCAGTCCCGCTCATCTGCCTGTCAGTTCTTGCAGAGTGGGACAGAACACCGATGGGGCCCAGTCTAGGCAGGTCTTGTGCAAGTGATAACAACGGGCGGGAGTTCAGAAGTGCAGAGGCTGTGCCGTGCCTAGACGATGTTGTTTCACAACACTCCTCCTTCCGGCTCCTGTGCTTCTCACCCTGCTTCAGTCAGGCTTTCCATCACTGTGATGAAACGACTGTGACCAATAAGAAACTCAGGGAGGAAAGGGTTTATTTGCTTACACTTCCGCACCACAGTTCATGAGGAACCTCATGGCAGGTGCTGATGCACAGGCCATGGGTTTACTGGCATGTTCCTTCTGCTTTCTCGTAGCACCAGGACCATCCCACAGTGGCCCTCTGACATCAGTCACTAATTAAGAAAGTGATCGACAGGCTTGCCTACAGCCCAGTCATAATGGGGACAGTTTCTCAATTGAGGCTCCTTCTTCGTTCAGGTGGTTCCAGCTTGTGTCAGATTCACATAAAAGTGGCCAGCACATACCCACGCAAATCTTTGTGAGTGTGGTTATGAGTGTGGGTAGGTTGGTAGCACAGATGTCCTGTTCAGGGACTCACTTATTCTTAGCGGTTTGAACAGTTATCAGCTTCTACTTTTAACTGTCACCTATTTATTTCAAACAGAAGCATCTTTGACCAAACCTGATGGCAGCACCAATCTGCATTAAACATAAATATCTAAAAGTCAGTTTGACAGGCACATCCTGCCCACTTAGCAAAACAGCAGCAATTGCTTTTGAGCAAATTTACAGTGCCGGACATGAATTCCTTTTATAGACTGGACCTCAGGTCCAGTCAGAAAGCTGTTGGCTGTTAACTCCACAACAGTCAGGCCAATATTGCATTAGTTGGCATAGCTGCAGGGTTCACAGCTGAATGGCACCCCACCTGCCCCTCCTTCTCCCTCCCCACATCCCCTGCAGTGGCCTGCAGTATACATAGCTACCCATTTCCCAAATATATTTGTGTGTTTGGGGTGAGTTCTAGTTTTGCTGATACCTCTCAGAATTCCTTTAATCATTATTTAAGGCCTCATGTCATGCAAAAAAAAAAAAATTTTTTTTTTTTTTTTTTGTGTGTGCTTTTTAGAGACCATATTTCTACTAAATTCCTTTCAAGAGGTGGCTAATGGATGTTTGGGCCAGCCAGAATACATGTGCCCTTACACAGGTCACCTTACCTTTTTGTGCGTTAGACTCATCATGGAAGACAGATTAGGAAGGCGTGACTAGATGTAAAATGTTTAGGGAGAATAAGGTCTCAGTAAATTAAATGCCATGAGCTTTCGCTGGTATTTGTCATGGCTGGTGTATAAGGCCTGAATTCTTAGTAGGTTACTTACTCCATAAAGTATGAAGTTCAAAAATAGCTTGAAGAAAATTTAGCCCCTCAGAGTTGCAAAGTCAGTTCTGGACTGTTTTATGTCTCTTTTCGTGCTTGCTGTTGTCTTAAGCTTTCTCTTGGAGAATAGCTGTTTCTTTGACATCACGGGCCTGTTTTTAGTGAAGTGCGTCAGTCTCCCAGCTGATTTAGTTTTTTCATCTTTCTTCCTGAAAACCCATCTGGTCATTTTCAGTTCTGATTTTCCTTCAAAGCTCTGGAGTCTGTCCATTTGGCACAGGGAGGGTGTAGGACTGCCTGGTCCCCGTGTTCTGCTTTAGACCCCTTATGCTCAGGGCACATGCTCGTGCTTTGCGGAGGATGTGCTTGCTGAGTGTGCTAAAGGTGACTGAATGTGTAGAGGCCTGTCTAGAAGGAATTCTGGATGACAGATGACTCATCTTGGTCCATATGGCTTTAGAGAAGCATTCTGCTGCCCGTGGGTGGAAATCGGTGCAGTGAGTGCAAGCCAAGAGAACACCAAGGCGGGTGGGGAGCCGGTAAGTGTGCTCTGGCTTGGCCAGCTCCCTCCTTGTTAAAATGCTGTCTACCTCCACAGCACTTGGGTAAGAAGCACCCATTGTGTTCTGTTTGTCTGTTTGTGTTTTTGAGGTAGGGTCTCACTAAGTAGCTCAGATGACTCACGGCAATCCTCTTCCTCAGCCTCCCAAATGCTGGGATTACAGATGCCAGCCACCATGA